GAGGCCAAGGTGGCTGAGCCTTGGTCACAGGAGCCTGTCTCTTCCCTTTCTCACTGTATCTCGGGGTTCATCCCTATCTCTGCATCCCCTCCTCTTGGCCACAGAATCCCACGTGGCATCCAATGACTCAGACTCGGAGCTGGAAGAGGCCTCTGATCCGGATGCCCTGTCATCCTCGGATGCCAGCGCCCTGCACCGCCTCAGTTTCCTGCAGCAGCCAGAAGCTGAGGCAGGCCCAGAGGAGGGTCCCCAGAGCCACAGTGGCAGCGAGGAGCAACTGGAGGCTGAGGATGGAGACCCGGGCCAGCGGCTGTGTTCCTTCAACAGCAACCAGTCCAACAACACAGCACCGGCTCCTCTGCCCGCCATGCGGCTCCTAGCGGGGCAGCTCACAGGTGGCAGCAGTGGGGACCGGCGGCCACAGTTCGTCTGAGCCTCGTGGTGATGATGGTGACTGTCAACCCACTGCCGGACACTCTTAGGGTCACTAAGGGCCCTTGACTTGGGGGTTGGTTCCCCACAACCCTGAGAAAGCTACTCAGGGGCTCAGACATTGTGGGGTGTGGGCTGACTCCGCTGGCCTTCTTATGCCTGTACGGATACAGCAGCTGAATTCCCACGGTACCCCCATCTCCATCCTGTGGTGTCCATCAGCCTGGAATGCAAGCCACACCCCTCTCTGGACGTGTCTGGACGGGTTGGAGGCCATTCGGGACCCGTGTGGTGGGTTCAGGCCCTGTGTGGGAAGCTGAGCTGACTCTGGTGTCAGGCCTCTGGCAGAAGGCTGGGTGCGGATAGACAGGTGGGGGTACACAGTGGACCTCTCCCAAGGTGCTGTGGACAGGTTCTTCACACGTACCCCCGTTTTGCTTAAAGTAAACTTAACCAGCAGAGCCACAGGCTCAATCTGTTGTCATTGTCAGATGGGGTTTTGCTTTGTAGCCCTCCCTATGTAGATCAGGCTGGCCTCAAACTCCGCCTACTTCAGCCTTTCAGCCTCCTACCCGCAGGGATTAAAAGCGTGTGCCGCTGCGTGTGTTTTATTTTATTCGTTCATTTGGGGGTTTCTTTTTTTTCCTGAGACAGGGTTTCTGTGTAGTCCTGGCCGTCCTGAAGTTTGCTCTGTGGACCAGGCTGGCCTCAAACTCAGAGATCCGCCTGCCCCTGCCTCCCGAGGGCTGGGGTTAAAGGTGGCATGTGCCACCACACCTGCCGTGCAGCTCAGCGCCATGTGTGTGCACAGTGGAAACAGGGTCTCAGATTCCCTGGGTCCTGTGCAAGAGCCAGCCTGACCTATGTGTTAAACCCATCTTCATCCCTTTGCTGAAGAGTTCAAGCAAGGTGGCAGCCCAGGCTGGGGGGCTGCCCAGTGACAGGAACTGTTGTGCCAGTCAGTCCTGGGCACATTTGTGTGACAGTTTCTGGTCACTTAGGGCAGAGTTGCCTGAAAATGTATGTGTATGTTTTTATTTTACCTTTTTTTTTTTTTTTTTTTTTTTTTGGTTTTTCGAGACAGGGTTTCTCTGTGGCTTTGGAGGCTGTCCTGGAACTAGCTCTTGTAGACCAGGCTGGCCTTGAACTCACAGCGATCCGCCTGCCTCTGCCTCCCGAGTGCTGGGATTAAAGGCGTGCGCCACCAACGCCCGGCATATTTTACCTTTTTCTGTTTGGGACAGGATCTCAGAGGCTGGCCTTGAACTTGCTGTGTAGCCAAAGAAGACTGAACTCCTGATCTCCCTGCCCTTGTTTCCAGAGTGCTGGGATGACAGGCTGGCCCTTCTGAAACAGCTTTGCGTGGTGCTGGAGATGGAGCCCAGGGTTCCTTACATGTTAGGTCAGTTTGCTAACCACCAATGCCTGGCTTCCATTTAACTTTCTGTTTTACTAGTTTTATGTTCACCAGATGATGGGGGTTCATACCTTTAACCCCAGCACTCTGGAGGCAGAGACAGGAGGATCACTGAGTTGGAGGCCAGCCTGGTCTACAGAGCATGTTCTGGGACAGCCAGGGCCACACAGAGAAGCCGTGTCTGAAAAAAAGCAACAACAAAATAGTTTAGTCTCTGGAGTGTGGCCAGGGTTCCAGGTCCCTCTGTTAGTTCCTGGCTGTGTGATCTAGGCTAGGTGTGCCTATCGATCTTCTGCTTGGTTTTTGGTTTTTTGAGACAGGGTTTCTCTGTGTAGCCTTGTCTGCCCTGAAACTTACTCTGTAGACCAGGCTGGCCTCGAACTTACAGAGATCCTCCTGCCTCCCAAGTGCTGGGACCAAGGCATGGGCCACCACATCAGTGTTTGTTTTTTGTTACAAACGACATTTTAAATATATTTCTGCAGTTCTGGGAAAGGATCCTCTACCTTAGAGCCTCAGCCAGGGGAGGGGGAGGTGACGCTCACTCCCCTCCCAATCCTTGCATGGTGGTGGCCCTGAGACACAGATTCATGCCCTGCTCCTCATAAGCTGGGGGTGGTGCACCCCAGCGTGGTGGAGGCAGGAGGAGCAGGGTCAGCATCTTCCTCAGCCACATGGTGACCCTGGGGAGCAGAGATCAGTTTGTCATCCCAGTCATGGGAGTCTACAGAATTCCCTGCCGCCCTGATACCAGCAAAGGGGAAGGGCCTTCCTTCCTGGCTGGGGGGGGCTTCCCGGGGAGGGGTCAGCCGGCCTCCTGCAGCAAACCACAGGCACAGATAAAATGCCCTGCTCTTGGTAAACAAGATGCCTTGGCTCTTGGCCAAAGGAGTCTGGATTCAGTTCTTCAAGAGAGAGGAACTAGCTCAGCCAGTGGAGAGTGAAGGTATTTGTCGAAGTCGGTGTACCTTCGATTTGGTTTTGGTTTTTGAAGTTGTTTTTGTTTTTAGGCAGGGTCTCACTATGTAGCCCTGGCTGGCCGGAACTCAGACAAGCCCCACCATGATCCTGATTCTCGTTTCTAAGAAGTCACGAGAACTTTACCCGGGGCTCAGGAGCAGCGGGCCTACTTCACCAACAGTACAGGGCACGAAAAGGCCGCCGTGGTGAGACAGGTGACCACCAACCCACTGAGCGACACAATGGGTGTGTGAGCCTTACCTGTGACTTCATAGAGGGTGAACGCAGCCCATGGTGACCAGAGCTACCGAGGGCTTTCCCGGTCACCTGTCGTGCTTAGGTTTCCTTTTCATGGCTGTGCAATCGCCCCACCACCCATCTCCAGAACGCCTAAAGCTTTGTCCCATCGTAGACACCAACTTCATCCCTGCCCTGTGTCCCCACCTTCCCAACTCTTGTCTACAGGGCCTCTGGAGTGAGACTCCCATGCCCTTCCATGCCGGGCAGGCTTGTCCCTGTGGCCCAGCTTCCGAGTTCAGTGCGCTGCTCATGCTGTGCCCCCCCCCCACTATTCACCCCACTCCATAGCTTAAGCTTCCTTCAGCTGCTATTAATCATAAATATCGGGTATTCAACCCCTGTGAGCGGGTCACGACCCACCGGCTGAGAACCGCTGCTCTGGAGGAGACGCCCTCCTACTGACAGGAGGGGAAGTCTGTGTGTCTGCAGGTCCAGAAATCTCACTCATAAGTGGAAGACACCCACCTACGTGTCTGGGGCCCCACAGTACCAAAGGAGGGGCCAGGAACCAGCAGTGAGCTGCATTTCAGGGCAAAGTTCCCACCTGGTCACAGGACGCAGGGCCCCAGCAGGATGGAAGCCCTCACTGAAACCACCGAGGTGTGTGAGACAGCCCGGAGGCTAAAAGCACTGGCAGTTCTAGAAGACTCTGGTTCGGTTCCCAGCACCCACATGGTGGTCCACAACCATCTATGACTCCAGTTCCAGGGGCTATGAGCCTCTGGCTTCCCCCAGCACCTGCATTCATGGCGTCACATGGCTCTGGGAGACAGAGGCAGGTAGACCTGAGTTCCCAGCCAGCACGGTGAGGGAGAAAGTGCCTTGGCTGTCATCACCAGAACACATGTGGAAACCGGATAAATACTGAACGCCCAAATCGAGCCTCCTATGGGCAGGATGGGTGGTGGAGACAGAAGATACTCCAGAAGCCCTCTGGCGGGCTAGCCTGGGTTGTTACCCTCTGACCTCCACGTACAGGGTGTGGCCTTGCTCTGGCATGCGTGCACGCTTGCCCCACCCCCCAGCAGGAAGTAAAGGTAAAAACATGCTTTAACCCACGTGTGGAGGTGTGCACAGTCACCCCAGCACACAGGAGGCTGAGGCAGGGGGCATGTAAGCCTGGCTGCGTACACAAGGAGACCTCAAACAAAAGCACTCAACACATCAACAGGCACTCTGCTTCTGGAGTTAGGCAGACACAGTAGCCGGTTGATACAGTGGCAGTGGAGGCAGAGTGCGCAATGGAGCGTCCGTCGGGCAAGCTGGAGCAACTGCGGTGGAGCCCCAGGAAAGCTGTCACGAGAAAGGCCAGCGTGGGACAATGGTGGGAAATTCGAAAAACAGAACCTGGGGCAGGAAATGGACTCAGAGGCCGGAAGGGGAGCTAGATCGATGGCCTGAGTGGTGGGTCCTGGGATTACGCTGGCCGTGGGAATGTATTAACACAGTCCTGAGCTGTGTCAGGAGCACAGCAGCAGGTGTTGAGTAAGTCAGAAGGGGCTGTGGGCAGCCAGGGCCTCAGTACCAGGGGCAGAACACAGGCAAGGGAGCAGCAGGGTCTTCCAGGTCAGCCTGAGCCGAGGAGTGGGGCTTTGTCACCCCAGGTTTGGGGAGGGTCAGGAAAGCAACTTGGTGAGTTGGAGTCCTGGAGGAGAATAAAGCCAGGGCTGGGTGTGGCCCCGGGGCAGGGTGCTTGTCTGTGGCCTTTGCCAGCCCCTACAGCAAGGCCTATCTTCCAGTCTGAGCAGGTAATGGCAGGCAGTGCTCTGGCTGCTCAGGGAGCAGGCAGGATTCTCACCATTCATGGAGTGACTTCTGGCTACAAGTGGTACATGGCATGCACCCAAGTTCTCATCCCGCACAGCCCAGCCCAAATTAGCCAAACAATTCATCTGTTCAAACTAGCTTTAATTCTCAAGAGTCCTACGAGAATGGAGAACTCTAAATAGGATAAGGACCTCAAGAGTTGGGGTGCAGACACTGTTCTGAGGTTGTACAGGGAGGGACTGTGGTGCTGGCCTTGTCCAGGGCCATGTCCCAAGATACAGGTCAGGTGGTAGCACACAGCCTTTACCCCAACACTTAGGAGGCAGAGACACGTGGATCCAGCCTGGTCTACAGTGCGAGTCCCAGGACAGGCTCCAAAGCTACAGAGAAGCCCTGTAAGGCAAACAGGTTATGACCCATACCCTGGCAGCCACGCGAGCAGCAGTCAGGGACCAACTGTCCATCAGGGAGCTGGCAGGAGAGTGTGGGGAGTTGGGAGGAGCAGATCAGCTGGTGTGGAGGGGATTCTGAGCATGGCCCTTGCTGTGTGGGGTTCCTTTTTATTGTTTCTCAGACGAGGGCCTCACGCCAGAATGCTGGACCAGTTCTTGCTCAAAGGCCATAAACTCTGAAGTTACAATCCTCCTGCCTCAGTCTCCAGAGGGCTAGGGTTTAACCTGGCAACAGTACAGCTTGCTTTTTGAGATAAGATCTCAGGATGCAGCCCAGGCTGGCCTGCCTTTGCCTCCTGGGTGCTAGTCTGCACTCCCATTAGATTTGAATTTTTGTGGGTACATGCGCAGCTGTCATGGTGCATGCATGAGGTCAGAGGTCAGCTTGCAGGAAGCGTCAGTCTCTCTCTTCCACCAAGTGGGTCCTCTCAAACGGCCTGGCTGCGTCTCACCCAATGTCCTACTTTTCAGAGCAGGATGGAGCCCTGCTGGGACCCTGGCGGCGGTGTGGGGCCGGGGAAGGAGGCTCGGGCCGTCTCGAGTCACGAACAGGCAGCAGGGTCTGGTGGCAGGTGGGGCTCATCCAGGGACGGTGCTGAGCCCTCGCTATGTGAGAGGCTGGGCTACTGCACCAGGCGGTAGGTGATGTAGCGGCCAGCAGTCTCACTGGGCCGGATGATCTTCACGACCTGTGGGAGCAGGCAGAGCTGGGGCTGGCAGGGCCACAGGCACCACTGTCCCCTAGCCATGGCAGCCCTGGCCTCAGAAGGGGACAAAAGCCAAGGCTTCTCACCTGCCCTCGCTTGATCCCAAAGTAGCGTGCCACTGGGTCCCCGGCCTGGATCCTGGGCAGCTGGCTCTCCCGAAGCTTGCTGGGTCACAGTCAAGGAAGCGGCTGGCCGCGCGGGGGGGGGGGGGGCACGGGATGAGGTGCTCACACTGCGGGGGAGGGGCATGGGATGAGGCACTCACACGGGGGGGGGCACGGGATGAGGTGCTCACACTGGGAGGGCATGGGATGAGGTGCTCACACTGGGGGGGGGGGCACGGGATAAAGGATACTATCTAGCCAGCAGCTCAGTCACCTCCTCCTTGGTCATGACCACGTGCTCAGGAACCAGCTGTGGAGACAAGAGACCGGCCAAGAGCCATGAAGCCATCAGGGACCTCAACAGACCCTAACTGGCTGGAGGATATTGCCATCAGCATGCGACAAAGGACAGGACCATGCTACCAACACCACCAATTTGGATGCTCGGGTCACAGCACCAGAGCTGGGGTACCAGCCTACCCCAGCACATGATGGCAGAGCCTGAGGCCCCAGAACAGACACACACCTCGTGCTCCGTGATGTTGATGAGCAGCTCTTGCTGTAGGAACTGCTCCAGCACGTACTTGGGGGCCATGTCCACCAGGGACTGCTTGGCGGAGGGTGTCATGCCCTGCTGCACCACGATCAGCGCGCGAGTGATGTTCTCCTCCTGCATGCGCTGGCAGTACACCTTGATGGTCTTGATGCCCACCTTGGGCTCCTCTGTGGACACACAGCACGACCTCACTGCTGAGGGCCACCACCGCCCTGCCCTGCCTGTGGTCTTGGGTTTCTCTATGTGCAAGGGAAGACCACAACGGCCAGGAGCCATGAATGGGGCTAGGCAGGCAGGAAACTGCAGGGTACCCAGACCCTTTGGGCCCCTCCTGGAACAGGGATGGAGGTCCTCAGTTGCTCTGAGGTTTAGGACACATAGTATTGCCAGCTTGGACAGCCTCAAGGAAAGATGGGGTTCACTGGAGCATCAGGACCCAAATGAGGAAGAGCAGGCCCAGGGGTCTGCAAAGACACTTTTCTCTGAGACAGGCGCTCTCTGCACGAATGGCTCTCAACCGGTGGGTCCTGACCCCTTTGACACCACAGGAACCACAAGTATTTACATTATTATGGCTCCAAACAGTAGCAGAATTACAGATATGAATTTCTCGGTTGGGTGTCACTACAACACGAGGAACTGTTTTGTTAAAAGGTCGCAGCATCTGGAAGGTTGAGAAGCAATGCTCTACGACGCTGTCCTAGAACTCTCTGTATAGACCTGGCTTTGACCACCTGCCTGGTCTCTGCTTGCCAGGTGCTGGGAAATGGGCACATGCTACTACACCCATCCCTACACTAATTCTCACACTAGCCCCAGGGCCTCAAAGCGTCAGGGTATTAAAGGCTGCTTGGGGAGACCAGGAGGCAGCTGCACAACACCCCCTCCCATGAGACGCCTTTCGGGGCTGCCTGGGCTGTAAGGCAGAAACCACGGAACGCAGCAGACGGGAGCCACGGGGTCTGAGGGCTGGTGCTGGGACCCAAGGGGTAGAGAGTGGACACCGCCTGGACAAGTAAAGGTTTCCAGGGGCAAAAGCGGGTTGGCGACGGCAGCAGTCCCGCAGGCAAAGCTGGGTAAGGCTGGGCAGAAAGCCGGGATACCCCAGAGGGAGTGCTGTGACACGTTGCCGGACAGGCACCAGAGCCAGGGCCTCGGTTACTGGTACAGGGGCCCCACCTGGGAAGAACACGAACATCTGGTCTGTGGGGTCGTCGTTGTGGGCCACCAGCACGGTCAGGTCCGTGCGCCTGGGTCTGCCCTCGCTGGGTTTGTCTCCAAACTGCGCCTTGAACTCCTCGAGTGTCTGGTCCAGCTCATCCTGGGTGACCAGGTAACCACGGTCGTGACAGAGCTGCAGAGACGCAGAGCCAGGAAATAAGCACTCAGCATGAGGGCTGGGACGCAGAGCCAGGAAATAAACACTCAGCATGAGGGCTGGGCCGTGTAGAGCCCAGACCTAACCCTGAACAGCCAGGGCTGGCGGGGACAGAAGGGGGCACTTAACTGACCAGCAGCGCTGCATGCTGTGTGGCTGAGCCAGTCGGGTCCCCAAGCTCGGAGAGGCCCACCCACCCCAGCGTCACTGGCAGGCCAGGGCTGATCCTCGACCTGTCAGTACCCCCCCTCTTCAACTCGGGGACTCCCTGTTGGGTCTTGGGCCTGATGAGGAAGAGCAGAGAGTAATCCAGATCGGGGCTGAGGGGCAGGCCTGAGAGACCAGGCCCTGGGGTCCAGCCAACAGGAGAATCAAACCTATGAAGCATACAGGCTCTTCACTGGGGTCTGGCCTGTCCCCTCCCTCACCATCCCCTTTCTGTCTTTTGTTGTTCAGAGACAGCGTTTCTCTGTGTAGCCCCGGCTGTCCTGGAACTCACTCTGTAGACCAGGCTGGCCTCGAACTCACAGAGATCCACCTGCCTCTGCCTCCCCAGTGCTGGGATTAAAGGCGTGCGCGACCACTTCCCAGCCAACCTAAGTCTCTTTTATTTTTGGGACAGGGTCACTCTATGAAGCTCCGAGTGACCTCAAACTTTCAAAACAGGCCGTTCTGGTTTTGCACTCAGAGCCTGACCTGCCTGCGGCCCGCGTGACGGGATGAAAGGCGCGTGCTACCAGACGGCAGTTTGGCCTTCTGTTTATTTTGGTTTCTTAAGGCAAGCCTGAGCCGGGCGTTGGTGGCGCACGCCTTTAATCCCAGCACTCGGGAGGCAGAGGTAGGCGGATCTCTGTGAGTTCGAGGCCGGGCTGGACCGACAGCCTCCAAAACAATACAGAGAAACCCTGTCTCGTAAAACCAAAAAAAAAAAAAAAAAGACAAGGCCTGTCTACAAAGCCCTGGCTGTCCCGGAACTCTCTGTGGACCAGGCTGGCCCCGAACTCGCAGAGATCGCCTGCCTCCGCCTCCCGAGTGCTGTCATTCAAGGCCCGCGCCACCACGCCGGGGTGACCGACGGCTGGGAGCGGCCACGCGGGTGCTGGGCCTGCGCCGACGCAGAAGACCCCGAGCTCGTCCATCCCCAGCGCCCCGCCAGCCAGGGGCGAGCGCGGCCACCCCGCCGGCGCCCGCCCCGAACCCCGTACGCGCGACTCGCCTGCATGATGGTCTTGCGGATCTTCCACAGCCGGTAGGTCTCCTCCTCGTCGTCCATGTTGCCGCCGCTCGGACGCTGCTGCGCCTGCGCGCCCGCTCTGCGCCTGCGCCAGAAGGCGAAAGGAGCTCCCCACTCACATACGCAACGCGCCTGCGCGGAATAACGGCACCGCCCCGTCCCCGCCCCTTCCCCGCCCTCCGCCCCGTCCCCGCCCCTTCCGCTCGGAGGCGCGAGAGCGCCATCGTGAAAACGTCGCGATGATCGGCCACCGCCGTTTAAGCGTTAGCCAGAGGGAACTGGGCGCGTAGACCACGCCTTTAACCCCCGCACGCGGGAGGCGGAGGCAGGCGCATCTCTGCGAGTTCGAGGCCAGCCTGGGCTACAAGAGCGAGGTCCAGGACAGTCGGGACTACACAGAGAAACCGTGACTCAAAAAACAAAACAACAACAAAAAGAAACGCCTGTGCATCTTTTTCCTTCCTGGGGGTGGGAGGCGTGGGTTTCACTGTGAGGCGCAGTAAGGTTTTAGGAAATGAGAGTTATCTAGATCTGGGAGCGATGGTGATGCAGTTGGTCCCAGCACCCTGGTAGGCAGATGTCTCTCTCTGAGTTCCTGGCCAGACCCTGTCTTCGGTTTTTTTGTTTTTGTTTTTTTAGGTATGGGGAGAAGCACTTGACATTAACTTTCAGGTGACACGACCCTCCAGTTCTTTTTGGTTGTTGGTTTGGTTTGGTTTGGAGACAGGGTTTCTCTGTATAACGCTGGCTGTCCCAGAACTCGCTCTGTAGACCAGGCTGGCCTTGAACTCATAGAGATCTGACCGACCCTGGCTCCTGAGTGCTGGGATTAAAGTCGAGTGCCACTACTTCCAGGTAACCCTCTCACCTTTGTGGTAGTGAATGGGCAGAGCCTGAGGACCTGGGCATGGGACGTTAGATAAACAGTTTGGGGTACAGGCAGGGGCTTCCAGTGGCCAGCTGGATGAGTGCCACTGAGGGGAGTCTGCCTGTAGGAGCTCTCCTCTGATCTTACCTCCTGCGGTGGCCTCCAAAGGGAGGGGCGCTGTTAGGAGGTGTGACTCTGTTGGAGTAGGTAAGTGTGTCCTTATGGAGCCTCATGTATTTGATGGCCTCTCTCTCCAACATGAGGGACTCCCCCAGTGACACTTCCTGCCCTCTACCTGCCCTTATGAGGAATGTCTCTAGGCCCAGGAAGACTGACCTTATCTAAAAGCTGTCTCTGAGCCTGGGTGCCTGATTTATCTCCATGGTGACCCTTGGCACGGTTTCCTGCTGGAAGTCCTCCCTCCCCTTGTGACAGGACACAGGAGCTTGCTACTCAATGCAAATTAGGGTTTGTCCCCAGGCTCCCCAGTCCTAGGTACTTCCTGTACTCTGGGATAGAGCTGAGCTGATTGATCCAAGTCTCCTGGAGGGCTGTGTCCCCCCCTTGTTCCCCGCTTTCGCTCCCCTTGCAGACCGTCACCAAAAAGGAAGGAGAACCACAATATATTCTCAAGATGCCACCCATGGTCTCTGACCACTTCCTGTTGCCTGCAGGAAAAGATAGTCGTCTGCCTGCAGGCCACCGTGTCCCACTGCGATGGAATGGACTAGACCTCTGAACATGTTTTTCCTGCATAAGAGTTACCATTGTCGTGTGTCTTCACAGCAGTTTAAACCCTGAGACACCTCTCTTCCCTGGAAGTCTGCCTCCTAGTGTGAAACTTCCAGCTGAGAAAACCTCATTCCTGGCTCAACCCCCCCCCCCCAGCTCAGGAGAATCACCAAAAAGTCCTGGTGGAGTGCTGGGTACACTGGCTCCTCTCCCGAAGCTGCCCAATCCCTGCCTAAAGCCTCGTCACCCCAGCCAGCACCTATATTACCCCCACTTTAGATAGGCCGTGTGATTCTTTTCCTGCCCCTCCCCTGCCTTGATCTCCGGAGACGGAGGAGTCACCCGGGAGCTGCTTTGCTCAGAATAAACCTGTCTTTAGCTTTCTAATTCAGCCTGGTGTGGTTTACTGCATCAGCAAAGAAACAGCATCAGGATACATAACACCTGCTAGTGTGGCGCAGCCTTTAATCCCGGCCCTCGGGAGGCAGAGGCGGGTGGATCTCTGTGAGTTCCAGGCCAGCCTGGTCTAAGGAGCAAGTTCCATGACAGGCTTCAAAGCTACACAGAGAAACCCCTCAGAAAAAGGGGTTAGAGCACAGGCTGTTGTTACAGAGGACCTGGGTTCAATTCCCAGCCCCCACATGGCAGCTCACAACTGTCTGTAACTCCATTTCCTGAGAGTTTGATGTCTTCACACCAAAGCACATTAAATAGAGTTTAAAAAGAAACAAACAAAAGCCTATTAGTGTGAGCTTGAGTCTCCCTAGTTCCTGGCTCTCACCGTTTCCTCTGTGCTTGGTCTCCATTGTCCTCTGTCACCAGCCAACTGCAGACACTCTCCTTACCAGGAATGCCACAGCCAACATTCTTGTCCAGGACCCAGAAAGCGCAAAAATGGAACACCCACCAGCAAAGACGAACTGGATATAACACCCAGAAACGCCTCAGACATCGTTACGACAGATGCCTGTGTAAAACACCCCAGACTTGGGCACAACTGATTCCATGATGGAAGTTCCATTCAGGCCATAAAACGCAGCACCACCTGCCAAGAACGAAAACAAAGACCTAACTGTGGTGATGTTTTGCTTATGATCTAACAAATAAAGCTTGCTTAAAGATCAGTGAATAAAGCTAGCCACACGAGATAACCACAGAGGTCAGGCAGTGGTGGCCACACCTGTATCCCAGCACTAGGGAGACAGAGGCAGGAGGATCTCTCTGTTAGTTCCAGTCTAAAAGAAAAACAGAGCTCACACAAAGGCGATGCCAGCACTGGGAGTGACATTTCCCTAATCCCAGCACGGAGGGGGTGGAGACTGGTGTGGCTGGAAGAGAGGAATGTAAGGCAGGAGGAGACAGGAGAGGGTGGAGTCTGAGGACAGGTCAGGTCGCCCCTTTGGTCTGAGCATAACTCTCGTGGCTGCTGCGTTGCTTCTCTGATCTTCAGCATTAGTCCCAGTATCCAACTCTCTGAGTTTTTGCTTGTTTGATTTTTGTTTTTTTGAGACAGGGTTTGTCTATGTAACAGTCCTAGATGTCGTGAAACATGCTTTTTAAATCAGGCTGGCCTCGCTGAGCGTTGGTGGCGCACGCCTTTAAGCCCAGCACTGGGGGGGCAGAGGCAGGCAGATCTCTGTGAGTTCGAGGCCAGCCTGGTCTACCGAGCGAGTTCCAGGACAGCCTCCAAAACAATACAGAGAAACCCTGTCTCGAAAAACAAAAAAAATTTTTTGTTTGTTTATTTTATGTATATGAATGCTTTTGTTTTCATCCATACCAGAAGAGGGTGCCAGATCTCATTACAGATGGTTGTGAGTTACAATGTGGTTACTGGGAATTGAACTCAGGATCTCTGGAAGAACAGCCAGTGCTCTTAAACTCTGAGCAGTCTCTCCAGCCCTCTTGCTATTTTTTTTAACTTCACTTTTGTGGGGATATATGTGTGTTTCCTTTTTTTGTTTGTTTGTTTGTAAAAAAGAAAGAAGCCAGGCATTGGTGGCGTGCACACCTTTAATCCCAGCAGGCAGATCTCTGTGAGTTCGAGGCCAGCCTGGTCTACAGAGCGAGTTCCAGGACAGCCTCCAAAACAATACAGAGAAACCCTGTCTCAAAAAACAAACAAATATAAAGAAATCAAATAAATGAGGGTAGTGTCTATCTGGTTGTTGACTGTGGATAGAGAAATAACTTAGTAGTTTCAATAAATATTTCTGCCCCAAATCCAGAGACCGAAGCTATCAGGGCCCCCTGAGGGGTCTGATACATAGTGGATCACTACATGTTCTCAGAATAAACCTATCACCCTAAAGATCAATACCCTAAGGGTCTCTAGGCCCACAGAGCATTCCCCGAGGTGTGATCCTCTGTTCCCATCAGCAGCAGGACAGGTGGAGACAGCAGCCTGGGTGGGCCACGCCCGTCCACGCGGGATCCGCTTGTCAGTCCCCTGTCCTCGCCGCGCCTCTTGAAACAGCTACTGAACAGGCCCTGGGCGGCCAAGGGGGAGCACGGGCCTTATGGAATCCAAAGAGGAAGGACCAGTGGGCTAAGTAAGGGTCCTGAGCTCTCAGCTGACTGCTGATGAGTCCGCTGACAGAGTAGGCATGACAAAGCAGAAGCAGTTGCTTACATGTGCTTATCAGGGCTCCAGTCTCGAGGAGTGCCCTTTCCCTGGGTTGTGGCACAGGCCCCGCAGAGGCACAGCGCAGGCTGGCCCCGCTCCAGGACGAGGACACCTGCTGCTCCTGCTCCTGGCTGTGCAGGTCTGCACATCAGAGCCTCCTGCTCTCTTAGCGTGGAGTGTGAACTAATCATCATGTCTCACGAGACAGGGGATGAACTCTGTCACCCAATGAGGGCTCTTGGAGCCCTATTCCCATGTTCTGGATGTCCCAGGCAACAGAGGAGCAAACAGCAATTTCTCTGCATTGCTCCCGAGGCTGGTACTACCGTGGGCATGGGGGCGCGCACCGGTTCAGTTAGAAGCTCCCACATCCTAGCCTTCAATTTCCTCATCTTCACAAAGCCAATCCCAGGGCTGAGAGGCCAACACCTAGGTCTTCTGATCTTGCTGTTGAATCCATAGGATTAGACCAGAAACTGAACCCCTGCAGGATTCGAACAGGGATCTAGAGTGAGTTCACCCATCTATGATTATCAACAAAGCTTTTTTTTTTTTTTTTTTTTTTTTTTTGGTTTTTCGAGACAGGGTTTCTCTGTGGCTTTGGAGGCTGTCCTGGAACTAGCTCTTGTAGACCAGGCTGGCCTTGAACTCACAGCGATCCGCCTGCCTCTGCCTCCCGAGTGCTGGGATTAAAGGCTGCACCACCACCGCCTGGCTTATCAACAAAGCTTTACCCGTTACAGAATAGAGGCCCTTAAAGGAAAGTGTAGCCAGCCGGAGGACTGCCAAGACTGGTGACTGTCTTGGCAGAATGTGAAGCCAGCAGAAGAGGGAGTGTTGGGTATCCACCAGAGAAGACAACTCAAACTCGGGTTGCAGCCGATGGAGTCTTTATCAGGCGTCC